AACAGTACAATATGATGGACTGAAAGATCCGCTGTAATTGCTTAGCTCCCAATGTAAACACCGCAATCAAACTATTACCTCCATGTAGGATTTTTGACGCGTATGATTTTCGCCGCATTTTGTGACAGTCTTAACCCAAGCTCATTCTGAAAACGTAGTCCCGCGGACGTTTCTGGAGACAGCGGAATACGTCCCGGGAGGTACGTATGGCTGCATTAATTTTTTTCAAGCGAACGATACGGGGGCGGTGTGACGCTGTTCCCTATCGCGCTGGCCGGCTGGCCAGCCGAACGCTAACCTCCTTGTGGAGGGATTCCCGCTGCAACCCGTTTGTCCACTCAGTTCACCGTGTACATCGGCAGGCTCGAGATGCAGAGAGGAGTTGACCACGGAGAACGGTTTCCAGTCCGGGGAAGACCAGTTCCAGCAATCAGGTAAGACAAAAACAGAATCCCAAAAATTAAGTGAACGAGTTTCATAACATGGTGAGAACGCGGTGAAATCTGAAAAACGCGGTAGAAAAAAAAAATCAGGGCTTTTCTATTTTTGGACGGCTTTTGTAAACCGTTGCTCGGGTTTAGGGAAGTGAGCGGGCGGGCGGGTCAATCTGTAAAATTGGTTGGGTTTAGGGAAGGAGGAGGGCGGGTCAGCCGATTGGCCGGTCGCGCAGTCAATCATTCGGTCAGTCGGACAGCGGCCTCACGCGGATTCGCAAAAACAAAAACTGCAGCCGTACGTACCTCCCGGGACGTATTCCGCGGTCTCCAGAAACGTCCACGGGACTACGTTTCCACAATGAGCCTGGGTTGGACAGTCTAGTCTATACACACACGGCTGTTTGACGTTACTGTTTGCATCTACGGAGTCTCTGCATAGAGAAATGCTGAGGTTTTTTTTCTTCCATTCACTGTGCGGTATCAAACTCCATTAAAACAACACTTTTCCAGCAGTTCCTCGCATCCAATACCTCAGTTTGTCATGGGGGGCATGCATGAAATGTTCGTGAATGAAAGTGAAAGTGGCAAACTGCAGTTAAAGTCAACAAATTAAGAATGAAACACTTGGAATTACAATAAAAACTCCCGAGGAAATGTGGATAGCGCGGCAATGATGCAATGATTTTAATCGAATTATGTGCTATAACATGTAAAACGGGATCATGAAAGGAATATTTAAAAAGCAGCTCATGTAAACACCTTCATCATATTATTGTCTTATTCAGATTAGGGCAAATCATTTGATTACTGATGTCCATGTAAACGTAGTCACTGTCTATCTCCCCGGCGTCTGTATTTGTGTTGCCTTTGTGAAATTCAGCGTGTGCATATACTGAAACTCCTCTTTTCATGCAAACCCTTCCCTCTTTCGCCACTCGACACTCCCGTCTAAACAAAGCTGGACCTTGCTGAGACAGAGGGGTTTTCGTGACCCTTTAACATCATCATTAACACTTAAAGCGATGCTAAAATCACTCGTCTCACCTTGAATAGCGTTAGATTTGTTACATCTTTCCGAAATAAATCAGGTCTATACAGTATAATGAGGCCAGCAATGAAGCAATGGCCATGGCTGTGTTTGTGCACAGATTCGTGTTCTTGTGATACCAGTCGGACTCACAGGTTACCTATAGAAGAACAAACTTGAACCCTGAGGACACAGAACGCATATGAGAAATGAGATGCTGTAAGCCTCCTGTTGATCACATGACCACTGTATATTTTAAGTTTAATAAAATTATGTTTTTTTTTCTTTTCCGTGCAATTGTATAAATATTTAAGTACTAAAACACTGTCAATGAAGATAATTTGTAAAATGCAAATAAAAGCGATTTCAGCAAAGAAACGGCTCACACTACTAATGAGATGTGGGGGCCCCCTAGTGGCGGCGGGGCCCTAAGCAGCCGTTTAGTTTGCATATTGACCTTATTCTAAAATCAGAAGTGCGCCTGTTTTTGCGATTGTCTTAGACCTTGCGATTCAGTCGCATATTGGGAGAAATGACTAGGAATAATAAACGGCAAAAAATGGTCAAACTACTTGCTCTACAAACAAATGTTTGCATGACTATACAGACCAAGTAGAATAATATAATAAGAAAATATCAAATTGCAACATCAAGCAGCGTAACGAGCAGTTTTTAACGTCAAAAAAATGAATGGAAGTGAATGAGACCGGAAATCGCGAGACAAAAAGATTCAAATGGCAGCGCCCGCTCATCGGCGGAGAATAAGGTGAATAGTGAGGGCCGGCTCTGGCTATATGGTTGCTAGTGCATTGATTTTCCAAGGGTCATGTCAAAAATTGTGTGCGTGTCTGAAGAGCAGGGGGGCGGGGATTGGGACGATTGTGAAATGAAGAGCGGGGAGGGGGGAGATGGACCAGTTGACGGTCGTGAAATGACGATCAGGGGGCACTTTAGTTCATTTTTTAGGGCACTTTTTATCCAAAAGGAAAAAAGGGCATGCGCACTGCGCAGGTTGAGCCCTATCTGTACACGTCCCTGGTGTTGAGCGCAAGTCTGAGTGCACATGTTGCATAAACGATGTGGCAAACCTAAAATAGTGTTGAGTACTGATGCTGTGTTCACACCAGACGCAGAAGAAGCATCAAGCACACACTGACAACAGTTCATCAAACTGGGCTCGGCTCAGTCAGAAGCACCGCTGAAAGCTTCCCTCATCCAGGTTAAGTTTCTGGAGGAGTTTATGAGCTCACAGAGCTGGGTGCACTTCTGAAAGGATCTAGTGGACTCAGACACTCCTCTAAATGATTCAACGCTTTTTTTCAGTCTTTTTAAAGCACATAAACACTGTTATTTTCTCAATAAAATCCATGTTAGCCATTTAGCAATGAAGCTAGTCACCGGGCAGACAGAAGCCCTGCCCATGACGCGAATCCGCGTCTGTTGTGAAGCTAATTTGACGCACGAATGAAGCGAGTTCACTCAAATGTTCACGCGACGTTTTATGCGCGAACAGTGCGATATATCCGCGTGTTCTGCGTCTGGTGTGAACACAGCATTAGGTTTAAAGTTTGTGTGAAATCTAAATTTACAATGTTTATTTTGCTAGCCACATTGTTTTTCTTTAGGTCAATAATTAAGCAGTGCAAGTTATCCACTGAAAAAAAGCTTGTTTTGGTAATCTTCAATAAAAGTCTGAGCATTTGCTTCTCTGTTTGGAGGGGCGGTTTCTCTCAAAATATTATTAACCATGCCACTCTTACCATTAGTTTGCCATGAGGGAATGATTCAATTCGGTTCAATATTTACTTTCAGTTGGAAGTACATCAACATACTGAAATAAAAGTTTAGTAACGCGTCCTGTGAGAAATTAAATGCTGCGTTTCTCCCTGGTTCTTCACATAACCTTTACGCGTTTTTAATTGTAAATTATTTAAACGTTACAGCATTCATCGAGCGGTTAGTTGTTTTCCTCTTTTCAGTATATACACTATACATACAGACATTATAAATATTCTTTGCAGAACACAAATAAAACAGATTTTAATTCAAATTTCAGCAAATAAACACCCATACCTTGTTTTACAAACAACGTTTAAGGCTAGTCAATATTAAACTGCATGTTTGAGCTTTCTCAAATCAAAATAACTTGCGGTGAGATGTCTTAAAATACATCAGTGTCATTTTTTTCACCAGGTGCACACCAATAATATATTTTTCCAAGGCCATTTTTATAAATTTGGCTTAAATAACCTATTTTAACGAAGGCCTAGTCCTGGCTTAATCCAAGCCCTGTTTGTAAAACTGGGCCCTAATGTGTTTATGCCTTCATAAAGATATTCATAGTAATGTTTACTTTCACCGTCTCATTTAGGAAAACTCCTAAGACAAATAAGTTATAGCTCTGAACTTTAATAATAATCCTATATAAAATAATGCACTTTCCAGCTTCTCTATTCCGCCGCAATGATCTCTGGGACTTCTTGAGCGAGTTTTTGTGCTCAAGTCTGCATCGATGCGATATCAAGAACACCTCCGGAAACTTTCACACGTCCTCCAGTCTTGTGGTATTGAGTTTTAGAACTGAACTTTGGCAGATGATGATGGCGTTACACGAGGACGCAGGAACGCTGACGAACGCATATTGAGAAACAGCCATAGAATTTGCTCAAAGTATTGAAATTGAGCACTAACAATAGAGGCACTTTGCTAAATAGCGACCGTCAAACCACTTCTACCCAACCACTTTTCAGTGTTAACTTTAAACACAGGCTAAAAAGACCAGTGTTCCTTCATTCCATCAATCCTTATTCTGTCTTTGTCATAAGGATTATTAAGGATAATGAATGATCTGCCTGTGTGGGAGAGTGAACATTGGCCCAGAGATGAGAGAGAAGCTTACACACACACACACACACACACACACACACACACACACACACACACACACACACACACACACATACACACCAACCTGAGCAGGCACCATAACTGTGCCCATATGCTAGCCAGCTGAGCTTTCAGTTGGTGCCGCTCCTCTCTCGGCATGGCTAGCGGCTTGTGTACATAAGTCGTGCATACGTGTGTTGATCTGTTTATGCATTGAAATATGTGACTACCTCTCACTACACAATCTGGCGACAAGGTTAATGTTATATGATATGTTTAAGCAACAATTCCTCGCTTATTATCTATAATTATGTTGATTATATGCTTTTAGGCAACTTGTTGGGGAAATTGTTGCTGATTTTAATAATATCAGTGTATTGTAAATCATTGTGTATCCAATTGAAGTTTAAGCTTTTTTACTATGGGGTTGCTAGTGTTCTGCATATTTTTTAGACCATTTTGTCAACTTCCAGAAAGAAAAGATTGCTAAAATAATCTCCTTACCACTTAAAGCCTTATACTAAGTGGTAAGGGTTTGTTTAAATCACTAAGTTAATTAACAGTTTTTGTGATGATAAGTTTACAATTCGAATCAATATAGATTTGTGTAAAAATGTCAAGTAGAAAGGATCAGGCTACAATAGACAGTATTGCATTTAAATCAATAATTGAGGTTTATTATGAAGCCAGGACTTAATATCCACTAAGATTAAACCTGTGTGAAAGAGACAAATAGGCAAATATTAATATGTGTTCAGGTGACATTAGAGAGAAATTCACGATATATGTGTTTATTTGTATACCTATCTGTGTCGCGTCCACTGTATCCGCTCTTTCTGTGTTTCTGTATGCCTCCTCTCATCCAGTCTGATCTTTGCTGCTCTGTTAATGACTTGTTATAAAACCTGCAACAAATATAAATATCAAAATCGTATTTCGACCAATTAGAACACACTCATCCACTCAACAACCAACCAGAACCCTCATGTTTTCAGTAGCCAATCAGAACCTACTCATCCACCTATCATAGCACACTTATCTCCACTGCAACCACTTAGAACACTTATTCACCCATTAATCAGTCAGAACTCAATCAACCCCTAGCAACCAATCAGAACACACTCCTCCATCCAGCGACCAATCAGATGGTTGCTCATCCATCCAGCAACCTATCAAAACATATATCCATCCAACAACCAATTAGAACACGATCATCCACCCAGCATTCAGTCAGAAAATGCTCAACCATCCAGCGACCAGTCACAACTCAATCAACCCTCAGCAACCAATCAGAACACACTCATCCATCCAGAAACCAGTTAGAACCAATCAAAGCACACAAAACAACATTAAGCAACCAATCAGAACTAATTTGTTCATTTACCAACCAATCAGAGCACACTCAACCCCCAGCAACCAACCAGAACACACTCATCAATCCAGCAACCAAACCAAAACACACACATCCTAACAACAACCAATTAGCAGACACTCATACACCCAGGAACCAATCAGAAAACAGTCATCTCCACAGCAACCAATTGGAACGCACTCAGTCAGAACTCAGTCAACCCCAGCAACCAATCAGAACACACACTTCCATCCAGCAACCATTTAGAACTCAATCAACCCCATACTAACCAATCAGAGTACATTCAACTGCCAGCAACCAATCGGAACACACTCAACCACCCAGCAACCAATCACAGCACACTGATCCCCAGGTTTGAAAGAAATTATTCACTGTGTCATGCAGAAGTTGCCAGCGGGCGCAACCAGTCAGTTTAAATAAATGAGCAATCAGTTTTGTCAGACAAGTAGCCCAGGAACCCACAGAGAGACAGACGTGACTCACTTGCTTTGGTAGTGTGTGAGGAAGTGTTGCGGGTCGGCTGGTGTTTGTGAGAGTCTGGTGATGTTGGGGGCATTCAGGACGAATCCTGATGAGCCCTGTAGAATTTAGAACAGCCAGTACACAAGACCAATGCACAAAACACTCTTAAAGCAGCAGCAAAACCAAGACATATCAGATTTCCAATCATCTTCAGAGTGGATGACAGTTCGAAAGTGTTGTCGAGGTGAGACGTGTCACTTTTGAGGGCTTTTGTGACATTAATGAAATCTGGCACAAAACAGATTGTCTTCTAAATAGCTTTTTTTTTCTAGAGAGGAGAGTTCATTGTGCTCGGTTTTTCTTTCACTTGTTGTAGGAGAAATTAAAAGACCGTGAGTATGTTTACATGGACGCCAATAATCCGATTTTAATATGATTAAGACAATACTCTGATTAAGAGTTGACAATGTAAACAGTGTTTTTTGATTACCTTAATCCGCCTAAAGCAGGGGTGTCCAAACTCGATCCAGGAGGGCCGGTGTCCTGTAGATTTTAGCTCCAACTTGCCTCAACACACCTGCAAAAATGTTTCTAGAAAGCCTAGTAATAGCTTGATTAGCTAGCCCAGGTGTGTCTGATTAGGGTTGGAACTAAACTTTGCACCAGCCCTCCAGGACCGAGTTTTTACATGCCTGGCCTAAAGTCATAATTGGACTAAACAGAAATTGGACATGTGGAGTATTCCTAATTTAGTCGGATTATTGAAGTGCAGTACATACATGTAATAATAATAATAATAATAATAATAATAATACATTTTATTTATATAGCGCCTTTCCAGAGCTCAAGGACACTTTACAAAGAATGTAACTAAAAGAGACGGTACAAGCAGACAACATTAGGTACCCAAACATACAGGAAGTCAAATCTAACAAACTGGAAATACAAAACAAGACCTAAGAGACAAATAAGCAGAGTGCAGGTGGATCAAATGAAGTGGTCAGTTTGTCAGATCAGAAGTGAAGCATTCAGAAAACAAGTGAACTTTAGGTAAAGATTTGAATTCTGAGATATTATTAACAGAACGGAGTGAGCGTGGTAGAGAGTTCTAGACTTTGGGTGCAATAACACTAAATGATTTCATCTACATGTAAACACCGTAATCAAACTATTACCATCTTGTAGGATTTTCACCGCATTTTTTTGACCGGGTATAGACTGATTTTACACGGCCGCCATTTTTAAAAGCGAAATCGAGGCTGCGGTGGGAAGAAACCCGGAAGTATCAATTGGAGTTACATAGGAACGTTGTGTACCTGGCTGTATATCTTATCAGGAAAGAGAAAGTGACTCAAATTTATCATTTCACCGCTTTCCGAGTGACTCGAAGGTCCGTTTTGAATGCATGCTGAAAATAAAAAGGGATATCAGACTTCATTTTCAGCTAAGTTAAGGGAAATGGCACTAATTAGCTAACGTTTTCTTTCCCAAACACACATTTTAGGGTGCTTTTACACCTGCCTTATTTAGTTCGGTTGAATCGCACTAGAGTTCGTTTTCCCTCCTGGTGCGGTTCGTTTGGGCAGGTGTGAATGCAGCAATCGTACTCAAGTGCGCACCAAAAGCGGACCAAAAAAGCTTTTGACTTGTTTTGTTACGATTTCATTTGTCAAATGTTATCTAGTGACTGTAAAGCTCCTAATCAGACGAACTGCATTATTATGTGTACTACCCTGTCTCAATGACATTTACAAATTAAATGAAATAAGAAAGTTTATAAACTATAGAAATGTCCAAAATCTAAATTTGGAGACTCCCTTTAAATTCTTTCTCATGACTGTTGGAGTGTCATTCAGAGGCATGGCATGATCTAATGTGTGATATTTACAGCATGCTCGGATATAGATTTAAAAGCTGCGAAGCACTGAGTAAATTGAAGATACAATTGACATTTCTTGGAAGATTCCTTTTAAAGGCTCCATATATTATGAGTAATTCATTTAAATATAGCGAAATAGCCAAAATAAAATACATGATTTAGAATATATTGCAAAATATATTTACCACAGGCCCAATGGACAATGTAGCAACATTTGGTCTGGTCTTCTGTCTGTTGTCCTGACTTATGCCATGTTGCAATGAGGTCTGTGGATAAAAAAAAATCCATGTTCATGCAGACTTAAATGTTTTAATCTATATATTTATTGTCATCATTATAGCTACAATCCTTGGCGTAAACAAACATTTAGCATATTAACTTTTAAAAATATATACTGTGTCAATACACATCTTATATATTTAAATGATTAAATTTACTTGGATAAAATAATGGATATGTATAAAATTATTTGTATGAAGGTTGCTGGTTTGAGTCCTGGCTGGGCCAGTTAACATTTCTGTGTGGAGTTTGCATGTTCTCCCCGTGTTGGTGTGGGTTTCCTCCAGGGTGAATTAAGTAAAACTAAAATTGGTGTATGAGTGTGAGAGTGTTTGGGTGTTTCCCAGTGCTGGGTTGTGGCTGGAAGGGTATGCGCTGGGTAACACATTTTCCTGGAATTATGGATGAAACGATTATAGATTTTGTTTGTACGATTATAGTCTGAGAAATAATCACGATTTCACGGTTATCAAAATTATTATGCATTCATAGTTTCAAAACCCTCCTAGTTTAGTAAATCACTTGAAAACTCCTTACACTAACAAGTGTTATTTATTTCTGCTCAGTAACCAATGAATACAGCACAAAATAATAATTGAAATAAACAATAGTCCATTTCTCTTTAGACTTAAATAAGTGAAAAAACGTTTTTGGCTTTTAAAGATATGTAATACTTTTACAGTGAAAACAAATGACAGAACAATGAACGAACGACTGAACGAACGAGTGAACATAAATAAATAAATAATGAACAAAATTAGAATTAACTAATTAATAAAAAAAAAAAAAAAAAAACGAAGAATAAAAAAAATAGATAAATAAATAACATTTAAAAAAGTAAGAATAAACAAATAAATAAAATATAAATAATTAAATGAATGAATAAATAAGAATAAACAAATAAATAAAATTTACATAAATAAATAAATAAATAAAAATAAACAAATAAATAAAATAAGAACAAATAAATAAATAAACAAAAATTTTTTTATTTGTCTAATTTAAATCTACACATTAGCTAAGTATTTCAGTTTTAAAGAGCACAAATGTAGTCAAAGGCTGCTAAAACTCTGTCTGAAAGGCACTTTTGATCAAATATATTAAAAATACCAATTTGGTGTTTTCCTTTTCTTATTATTTTCTCTTTGGAGTAGAAATTTGTATATTCCATACAAAGTATGAGCTGATCGGTTCTTGTCACGTGACTCACGGTGCGCAACTAGGTGCAAAAAAATAAATAAATAAATTGTGTTGTGCAGCTCGCTCAGCCATAGTTAAAATCATTCTTTAATTCAGTGTGCGTGTGTATTTGCCTCGGCGTATAAGCTTGGATCTTTAAGCGCACCAGGTGGCATTGATTTAAGTTGCAGTAGTTTTGTCATATGCAGAAACCCGGTGTTGAGAAGCCTGTACGATTAATTAACCATGATTAATTAAAGCACAGTTAGTAGTGAAATCGGTTAATCACTGCATCTCTAGCCGGAATAGGTGGCGGTTCATTTCGCTGTGGCGACCCCTGATGAATTCTATTTGAAAATGTATTATTTGTTTGTTTAACAGGGGCAATACACTTGACATTGTTATACAAAGGCAACCAATGCTGCATACATAGGGCATATAGCATGAAGCTAATTTGCAGCCCTTGTTCCTGGTCAAGGGACTAAGCCGAAGGAAAATGGATGAATGAATGAAATTGAACTAAACAACCACAAGGTGGTGTTTATTTCACTGAATCATTAATTTAATTGTTTCATTCAAATTGTTGATTCATAGAAAAATTAAGTGACTCTTTTCGAAGATTAGTCAGAAAATTCCCCCAAAAGAGGGATATATTAGGTACTTACTGAACTGGTCAAAGGCCTCTCGGTGTCTCTTGTAAATCCAGTTTCTCGATTTGAACGGGAGGCAAGCTTTGGAAATGCTTTCCTACCCTAACACACACACACACACACACACACACACACACACACACACACACACACGCACACACGCACACACCACACACGCACACACGCGCACACGCGCACACACACACACACACACACACACACACACACACACACACATTAACTAGGCTGCAAACTTCATCCAGCTGAAGCACACTATAAAAATCTCATGAATGTGGCGATGTTGATGGACAGAGTAATAGCAGAGAATGAGAGAAACAGAAAGACCACCTGTAGAAAAGATCCGGCAAGGAAGTCAGTCCTCATCACACTTTCATGAGTCCTGCGAGCGTCGTCCTGACAACAAATATCACCCAATCATAGCACAGAATCAGCATAACATTGGCAAAAGGACCTGATTATATAACTTTTAGAAATACAGCATTAACAACATCATGAAGTTCATTTAATATATAGTTGAAGTCAGAATTATTAGCCCCCGTTCAATTTTTTTTTCTTTTTTAAATATTTCCCAAATGATGTTTAACAGATTCAGGAATTTTTCACAGTATTTCCTATAATATTTTTTCTTCTGGAGAAAGTCTTATTTGTTTTATTTCGGCTAAAATGAAAGCAGTTTAAAAAAAAAAAAAAAGCCCCTTTAAGCAATTTTTTTCTGATTGACTACAGGACAAACCATTGCTATACAATAACTTGCCTAGTAAAAATATTATTTTGTTTTTAACTAGAGAAGAACTAGAAGCCAAAATGAATAGGTTTATTTCTTACTGTAATGCAAGCTAAATTATCCCTCTGCCAGAGGGGGAATTAAACTGATCTTGTTTTTTCTTTGAAATGTAGATATTTGGACCAGAAGCAAGACAAATTCTCAGTAAGAAAATACATGTATTTTTTTGCATTTAGTCTCTTCAGGGACGAGGGCTGCAAATTAGCTTTATGCTATATGCCCTATGTACGCAACATTGGTAATCTTTGTATAACAATGTCAAGTGTATTGTCTATGTAAAAAAACAAAAAGAAAATAAATAAATAAATCGCATAAATTCTTTATAAATACTGTAATTACAGTTTTTTACAAAAAGAAAAAAAAAACAATCCTGTTTTCTGAGCTAATCAGTCGGCATCAAAGCTCTCACAGATTTACACGCGCAACTGCTAATGGTGACTGTCTAGTGCCAAAGTGCAAGACCTCCTTTGGTCAATCTATCTTAAAGGGAGCCAAACTGTGGAATGATTTACCAGTTAGCTTAAAATCAGAAAGTAATAAAAATATTTTCAGTAGTGGTCTAAAAAAGTGGTTAAAAACAAAACAGCAGTGTTTGCACAAATAGTCTACTGGTGGCTTGTTGGAATATGTCGCTTTAGTTTTTGCCTTCAGTAATTTTATGTAAAGAATTATAATGTGTATATGTTTTATATATATATATATATATATAAAATAGATACACACACACACACACATACACACAAACACACACACACACACACACACACATATATATATATATATATATATATATATATATATATATATATATATATATATATATATATATATATACATAAATATAAATATATATACATAAATATAAATATATACACACACACAAATATATATGTATTATATTTTCCATTTTGCCAATTTTTAAGCCCCCTTTTGACAGGTGTTGAGAATTAGCAAGTTTGCTAAAACACTTACAGTTTTTTATATATATATCTCAAACTCAAAAAATCACAGCTGATTCCCATCTACAAACCTTTTCTGTTTTTTCTGTTGCAGTGATATCCTTTTGCAAATACTGTATTTTGTTTTACATAAACTGTAGATTTTATAAAGCATTTTTTTCTTCATTTTTGTATTGAATTTTAGCAGTAAAAGAAAGAAAATGCATGCATTTACTAAACCCAACAAAACAAAACTGCAGAGAGGCTTCAAATATAAGGGCAGACCTGACACATAAAATAATGCAGTTTCTGTAATGTCAGCTGATGATAGTGTTTTTATTGTCAGTGTGTTATGATTGACTTGATGTTTCTGTTGGAAAAGAACATGTGTTAGTGTTTTGAACAATTATTTAATTTTGAAACATGCTTGCAGTGTTTTATTAGAGATGGTGTAGTGTGTTAGTTTATTATTGTATTTTGAACATTAGTTTAGAGGTTTATTTTACAATATGTGATTTTGAGCATGAAATTAAATTTTTGCCATTTGTGTGTTTTAGGTGTGTTGGTGCGTTAAGAGTTTAGCAAACTTGTTAAATTTATTGAAAAAACTGTCATAGCCATTGTAAAAAACTGTAAAACAAGTGAAGGATGAGTAAATGAAGACAGCATTTTTATTTTTGGGTGAACTAGCCCTTTAAGAATTATGGATTAGTGCAGTTTAAAATGTTTTGGCAATGGCTTTAGCAACGAACTGGTAAAACATACCATGTTGACGTATTTAGGAAGGAAGGTGTGCAACTGTAGATTGGCTCCTTCAGTGTATCCACTGTCTTCAATATGCCCGATTAAAACACGGTCATCTGAAGCATCTAGAATGCACCATCAAAACTTTTTTATCTACAAAGTACCAGGTTAAAAGGATAATTCCCCCAAAAATGAAAATTTACTGACTCTCAAAAGGATTCAAAGCTTGGGTTTCTTTCTTCTGTTAAACATAAAAGAAGATATTTAGACAAATGTTAGACCCCAGAAATAATTGACTTCCATTCATTCATTTTCTTTTCAGCTTAATCCCTTTATTAATCAGGGGTCACCACAGTAGAATGAACCGCCAACTTATCCAGCATATGTTTTACACAGCAGATGCACTTCCAGCTGCAACCCATCACTGGGGAACATCCATACACACTCATTCACACATACACTTTGGACAATTTAGCCTACTCAATTCGCCTATAGCGCATGTCTTTGGACTTGTTGGGGAAACCGGAGCACCCGGAGGAAACCCACGCCAACACGGAGAGAACATGCAAACTCCACACAGAAATGCCAAGCCGAGGCTCGAACCAGCGGCCTTCTTGCTGTAAGGCGATTGTGTTATGTAAATGACTTCCATAGCAGGAAAAATAAACACTATGGAAGTCAATGGTTACAGGTTACCAACATTTTTCAAAATATCTTCTTTTGTGTTCACCGCAGTCAGAAATTCGAACAGGTTTGCCACAAGGATTGTGACAGGATTGTCAATTTTGTGTGAACTATCCCTTTTAACCAATATTTTAAACCCACACTACTTACCCACAACTCTAAGGCTGTGAGGAATGTAAGCGCCTTTATATTCAGTCTGACATGACGCTGTTCTCTAAGAGACAGAGAGAGTAAGAAAACAATGAGGCAGGGTGAAGTGACATGGCACGGTGCCCTTGAAAACCTGCTGCGTTTCTATGTGTGTGTCTTTGGCTCTCACAAGTCTTGGCTGAGATTGTAGCTGCAAATATCCGCTCTCTCTGCGTCTGGATCCCGAGCAGGCCAAAGGCTCCGTCCCGTCGGGCTGAACCAGACGCTGGTAATGGCGCTTCGACTGAGACTCAAAACTGTCCAACAATGAGAAACTAAGAAAAATAATACAAGTATATGTGTCTGGAATGATGAAGAGAGGTGCAGAAAGGTTTGAAGGTTTGTGTCAAATACACACACACAAACACAAACACACGCACGCAATCTGGGTCATACCCAAACTGTGGATTATCATAGTCATCCAGCCTGGAGCTGTAGTACAGAACGGGACGGTGGTTGGCAGAATATCCTGTCCCATGATGATAGCCTAGACATGGCTGGAATAACTCCTTACCTGAAAAAAGGAGGACACGACTTATGAAACATTCAACATCCTGTATGCTGCAACACAGAAACAAGTGGCCAGTAATGATTGTAATGATGACTGATGTGTTTTTTTTTTTTTTTAAGAAAGGTTGTGTGCAACCAGTGACACGAACAATAAAAATTCCGGTTTTATTTTCTCACGCATATTGTTTCCTACCTGTATGTTGCTATACTTTTGTATACAAAAGTAAAAGTAATTTATTGCATTTATGTATCATGCAATAATCTATGACTTATTGGCCACTTTATTAGGTACACCTTACTAGTATCGGCTTGGACCCCCTTTTGCCTTCAGAACTGCCTTACTCCTTTGTGGCATAGATTCAACAAGGTACTGAAAATATTCTTCAGAGATTTTGGTTTATATTGACATGATGGCATCACGCAGCTGCTGCAGATTTGTCGGCTGCAGATCCATGATGCGAATCTCCTGTTCTACCACATCCCAAAGGTGCTCTATTGGATTGAGATCTGGTGACTGTGGAGGCCACTTGAGTACAGTGAACTCATTGTCATGTTCAAGAAACCAGTCTGAGATGATTTGCGCTATATGACATGGTGCGTTATCCTGCTGGAAGTAGCCATCAGAAGATGGGTACACTATGGTCATAAAGAGATGGGCATTACGATTGTAACAAGTGGTTATTTAAGTACTTGTTGCCTTTCTATCAGCTGGAACTAGTCTGGCCATTCTCCTCTGACATCAACAAGGCATTTGTGCCCACAGAACTGCCGCTCACTAGATATTTTCTCCTTTTTGGGCCATTCTCTCTAAACCCTAGATATGGTTGTGTGTGAAAATGCCAGTGGATCAGCAGTTTCTGAAATACTCAGTCCAGCCCGTCTGGCACCAACAACCATGCCACGTTCATAGTAACTTAAATCCACTTTCTTCCTTATTTTGATGCTTGCTTTGAACTGCAACAGATCGTCTTGGCCATGTCTACATGCCTAAATGCATTGAGTTGCTGCCATGTGATCGGCTGATTAGAAATTTTTGCGTTGACGAGCAGTTGGACAGGTGTGCCTAATAAAGTGGCCGGTGAGTGTAAATGCTATATTCAACTAAAATAATTATTCAGTTGAGACGGGTTTGATGTTTACAACAAATTTGTCAAATATTCTCAACATATAAGTCAATTTAGAAGCTTGTTTTGTGGCACAGATTTGATTTCCCTCAAATTTGAACATTTCTAACTTATCCCACAAACTTTCTCAGAATTGTCTTTGAATCTAAACATTTTGACTTGCACTCGCAATTTTGAGAAAAAAAGTTAGAATTGAGAAAAAAACTATAAAATCAAATATTCGGCGCCTAGACAGCAGCTCTGCACAAGTTTGGCCAGAGGAGAAATAGTTGTGCCCAACTGAGCCTGGTTTCTCTCAGGTTTTTTTCTTCTTCACTTTCGTCAATTGGTAAAGTTTTGACGAAACTTATGAATAAAACAATGAGCCAATTACTGAGGGAAATAAAGCTACTATTTCAATTAAACCGAGTTTAAGGGTGCTTTCACACCTGTGAACCGATTCAGTTGTTCCGAAACAGAGATTACAAATGTTACATTGTTGCTCTTTGCTCTTGGAGCGGTTCGCTTTCACACTGCAAAGTTTCTAATCGGACCGAAAGAGCTAAAACAAGTCACGTGCGAGTAAACTCTCCTCACATTGGTCAGAGTGTCAGGGTTTATTTTGCAGAGTCCCGCTCAGCTGTCAGGAGAGGTGGTGGTTTGGTGGTGATTGACAGGGTGCGTGCGCGTCGTGTCTGAGAAGAGATGCGGTGGGGAGGGGTGAGAAGGGTGCGCGACGATGCCTATTTGAGGACCGGGAGGGAGACGCGAGATTACCGGGAGATCATCACTCGTTTGCGGGCATCCGGAGACTCGCGAAGCTTCCCGCCATACTCATAATTCTCTCTTCATATAGCCTTAAGCCTATTACATATCCATAAAACACTGTGATATAACCGCGCTCGGATCGGATCGCTTTCTCACTGCAATCGATCCGCTCCAGGGTTCGTTTCAATTGAGCCGAGACCACCTCACTCAAGCGATCTCGGAGCGATTACTTGGCGCAGAACAGAGCCCAATTGCCCTGTTCACATATGCCAAACGAACCGCGCTAACTGGGCAAACGAGATACATTCCGAAACAAAAGTGTAGGTGTGAAAGCCCTAAATTAATTGTGTGAAATCTACCTTTATAAGCATGTGTTACAACTAACCCTCTGTCTGTTACAACTTGCCCCACAGGTGGGGTAAATAGTAACATTTTTACTCTTGGCATTTTTGGCAATACTGCACAGACACCATAGATCCGGCGGTCATACTTTCAGTGTTCATTTGTAGGAGACACTTGTGTGCTGTTGATAAAAAAATATGGTTTGTCTAACCCAATTACTTTGTTCATTATTAGCCAAAACCAAAAAGTGTTACTTTGTGCCCCGCTCTTCCCTAATGTGCACTCCTGTTGTTGTGAAAAATGAATAAAATTAAACTTTAAAACAATTCTCACTCAGGTCTAGACTTTAAGAGGGTTACAAGCAAAATAGGGTATCAAAACATTATAATGTGTGGTAAAAAAGACGGATGGTTGTTTATATTTCCAAATGTGGCATAGAAAATTCTATTGTTTCAAACTGGAAAAATATGACCAAATATCTGGCTTCAGTAGAAGTCTGAACAAGCCAAAATCCATTCCCATAAATACAAAGAAGTAGTTTGATGAAAAGTACGACTAAAGGGTACTCTCCTGTGTGTTTGTGTGCCTCACCATAAGACTGTCTGTAGGAGGTGCAGTAATGGTCAATGCTGATGTTAGCCGGACGTCCCGCTGGTCTGCCCGTCCCAAATGAAGGCTTGATTACGCCCAACGGCCCAACCATCTGTGACAAACCCAACACAATACACATCCATAACAACTGTACACACATGTATGATTGACATTTTAATCAAGTTCTGTAAACACTGGGAGTATTACAGTTTGAATTAAACAAACATTTTCCAATATAGCTTCCCCTGAGCCACACACTGTAGAAACAAAAACATTCATAAGATTTCATCACCTTTTATTTACCTTTTAACTTTAGCTGCGTTATTAATGTCTTGTGACTGGTCTTTGAAAGACAAAACAACAACATATTAATAATTTATATTGTTTGTATGAGTTTGAAATCACTTTATTTTTAGTCAAACACGGTCCGTTACCTGTCGTCCTTTTTAAAAATACCTGTGCGCGTCGAGTCTCTTTTTATCCTCACACTCGTTACCGGGTAACCGTTACCAGGACAATCACAGACGAGCTCTTCACGTGATATGTGTGTGACACGACGCGGGAAGGTGAGGTAACGGCTTTACAGTTCACTCTGCGGTGTCATTCAGCAACAAGACGTTTATTCACATTAAAACTTTATCTTGTGATGAGGAAAAGGTAAGAGAGACTTTTGTGTGAGGGAAATAATATATTTTTTCACGGCTAACGAACCAATGTTTTAAAATAACCACCTGGTGCGATACGGTGACGAAAAACTGATGTAACATACAGACTTCATATATTAATTTGGTGATAGTAAACCAAGGTTTCCACTTTCAATGAAACTTAAAACGTTATTATTGTAGTTTCACAATTGATTGTTGTGATACACCTTGGTTTTTGTAGAAATGTTGGGGTTCTACAAATGCACCTCTTAAATGTAAAGACATTACGTTATTACAGACAGACAGACAGACAGAGATAGATAGATAGATAGATATGTAGATAGATAGATAGATAGATAGATAGATAGATAGATAGATAGATAGATAGATATATAGATAGAGCTAGAAAGAAATAGATAGATGGATGGAGAGATAACACTAGATAGATAGATGGACAAATAGATAACGATAGATAGATAGATAGATAGATAGATAGATAGATAGATAGATAGATAGATAGATAGATAGATAGATAGAAAGATAGATAGATAGATAGATAGATAGATAGATAGAGCTAGAAAGAAATAGATAGATGGATGGAGAGATAACACTAGATAGATAGATGGACAAATAGATAACGATAGATAGATAGATAGATAGATAGATAGATAGATAGACAGACAGACAGACAGACAGACAGACAGACAGACAGACAGAGGCCTAGCCATAATAGTTTTCGAATTTAAAGGGATAGTTCATCCAAATATTTAAATTTACTCACATTTTTTTCTCCACCCTCAAATGGTTGCAAATCTTGTTTTTATCCCCAGTTGAAGACAGAAGAAGAAAAGCTGAAAGCCCTCAACCACTAACTTTCATTGAAAAAACAAATACTACTTAAGTCAATGGTTACATGCTTTCAAGGATATCTTCATTTGTGTTCAACATAATAAATTAAGTCAAACAGGTTTGGAACAAGTAGATGGTTTTCATTTTAGGTGAACTGTCCCTTTAAGTAGCTTTGTATGTGTAAGTGTATAGAAATAATATCTATCTATCTATCTATCTATCTATCTATCTATCTATCTATCTATCTATCTATCTATCTATCTATCTATCTATCTATCTATCTATCTATCTATCTATCTATCCATCACTTTCTACTAGAAACTTACATTTTCACTTAAAAAAATGTGACTGGGCCTGGCCTTTAGCTTATTGTCCTCAAACAATCATACAAAAACAAGCATAAAATTTTACAATACAATGATAGAACTCATCCTTGATCACTGTCAGCTTCTCCATCAAATGAAATCACTTCTGAGTCATAGCCTTAAAGGTGTATCGCATGCATTTTATGTTGAATTGAATGCAAGTGTGACAAGACTGACAGAAACATGGGGGACAATTGTACATTTATTTGTATCATATTCGTAGTATGGTAGAATTTATTTATAATTTTTAGTTTTCAATCAATTGATGTGAATGATAACAAACTTGCTATTTCTGAAGTTTGTTTATTTTCTAAATAACAGTTTTTTTAGCATAACAAAACTTTTAAAGCTGCAGGTTCAATTGGGCAATGACAGGGTTTGTATGTTTGTAAAGTGTTTTTAATAAAGAAACAAAATCTGAGAACTAAATGAATGACATATTCCTTTACAGAACAACTCACAGAAATCAACTATCAGTCTATTTTAGAAATATTTGGGATGAAATACTTTTTAAATCACTGTATTTATGTTTTTATTTCAGGGACAGATTTCTGGTAGAATGTCCCATTATATATATATATATATATATATATATATATATATATATATATATATATATATATATAAATGTTTATTATCTATCTCATCTCCATCAGAAGCTTCTTCAAGAGTTTAAACAAGACTTTTTGTGCACGACACATTTCACAAATGCTTTAATCTTTTTTTATGTCTCTTGACACTTAAGATTTAATATCCAGCGTCACTTTGACGTCACTTTAACAGATGTCCATACTTTTAAATAGATCACTCACACAGCTCTGGGTGCCTGTGAACGCTTGTGAACACAGGGTGGCGCTGTTGTGTTGCTCAAAAGAAGCACTATACTGGCATGTGCAACCTTGTCACTTCTCGCCCTTTGTTTCACATCATCATCATCAACATGTTCTGTGTCCCATGATGCACATATGTCTTTGTGACATATTTACTGTCTTAAGGGTGTACTTATATATTACTATCGGATCCCAGACATACTTAACTTTTGCACAGTCTGTGTGGCCTTGTCCGTGTCACAGCTGAAGTCATTTGCATAATCACCACGGCCTCCGCAGTGAGTACAGCCATAACACGTCACCGCATTAACATTACTCTCCGCTCTGGAAAGATAAAGTCAAATCCATCATTACAGGCGGCTATCAGCAGGTCCCCGCTGTCTACCTGTCTCCCACATTAATTCTGTCTCACCTTCACTGACAGGGCGTTGTCGCTCCAATCTCCCAGCAAACGAAGGCGAAATGCTTCTGCGGGCTGGCCTGTCGCTCTCCTGGGCGTTTATTGAGCGGTGTGTGTAGGCATGACTGCCCTTGCGAATAACAGCACCATTGAGTTTGCTCATGCGGCACGGGGATGTGTCCATGACCGAAAAACTCTCTCCCTTTTCTGCAGTCACATGGATTAATCTGTGTGGCATGCAACAGGATATGGTACGGTGCTCAACACTGGAGGCCGGTGCTGGGGTTTATCAGTGCAGGTGAGATGAGCTATACAGCGCCTAGGTAAGTGTTTACCAGCTGGAGGTGATCTTTAAACCTAATCTACACCTTTGAAGGCCTCGTGAAATTAAAATAAAGTGTTTTAGATGAGAGTATCAGTAGGTTAGCTTTAAGGATATCTAGGATGTGTTTCAAAACAGTGACACAATTCACGTTTAGAGGATAATAACATCCAAACGCTTGCAGTTCAACGATTTTTTAGACATCATCTCATACTTCAGTTTCTCATCAAATCCTCTGATCAAATGTTCTCTAGTGACGCTTCTTGTTTGCTTTTCATTTGATGTGCTTGAGCTCAATCACTCTCATTGGTGGAGCTGTGATCAAAACGAATTGCTATTGGCTGTTTCTTAGAAAGAGGCGGAGCCACTTCATGTCCCCGTCTTTCTTCATGTTATGGAGGTCTCCATAACCCTGGACCAGGCCCTATCCGGTCGTGGAGGAGCGGAAAGCATTGATCCCGTGGGCCAGCCTGTACACCCACCGATGAACTGCTCACACAGCTTCTCCATGATGGACGTCCAGCGTTCGCCAACCTTCAGTGCCTTGACTGCAGCTCTGCACGAGAAGTTTTGTCTGGGGGAGAAATGGTCGTGCCCAACTTGGCCTGGTTCCTCTTAAGGGATTTTTTTCCTTCACTTTCATCACTTGGTGACGTTTGTTCCTCACCAATGTCACCTCTGGCTTGCATGGTTTGGGACTTGTGGAGCTGAGCATCGATGGATTTGCTCTTCAGTGTTTGGACTTTCGGCAGTGAAAATTAAACCACACTGAACTGAACTAAACTAAACTTCAACTCTGAAAACTGGACTGACACTGTTTCAATCTACTAGAACTTCTATGTTAAGCTGCTTTGACACAATGTTCATTGCAAAAGTGCTATAGAAATAAAGATGATTGAATTAAAAGACGTTTCAAATTTCGACTACAATGTGAAGTTTTATAAACTAATTTCGAGAGGAGCATGTGATATGATTGATCACATCTGGTCTTTCATCTATAATCATTAGTAAGTCAGACTAATCCAAACTTACTATAAGTAGCCTGTCTAAAACTACTCCTTTATATTCGTTTTCCGAAGAAACCCCCCGTCCACCCCATTTCCTCCTTTCCTTCTTTTCCAAGGGGAGCTCTCGAGAACTACCTGATCTAGTACTCCCCTTACATGCTCATTGACCAGGCGGGAGCCCTGGACTCAATTATCTCCAAGATTAGGGTTCTCTCCCGGGACAGCTCGCCAAACCTGCTATTATTATCAAGCAATATCTAAGTGCGAACTCTTGAAACTGCACATTTCAAAGCACTTCATTGTACCTTTAATCTCCCATGAGTTTACCAAAAAACTTGCCCAAAATTGTGGCGACCACATCAAATATAAATTTGCTAAACATTTCTGGTTGTTTGTCAGGGTTTAATGTGACTTTCCCTACAAGTTGAGAGTACTTGGCATGGCTTGCTAACTTCTAAATGTACATAAGCTCTTCGGTTAGTTGAGTGGGATTCAAACACGTAATTATTGACTTTATTCTTTCACATACGAGTAGGCACAACCTTATTGGGTCGAGAGTTATGGTCTGATTCACTTCCATTGATTTTTAAAGATTGAAAATCAGCTGCGTATTATATTATTGGAACTTTTATGCATTGTCATAAAGTTGTTTGTTGAGCAAGTAGTTTGACAGTTTACTGCTGTTGGGTATTCATTGTTATTTTCCCATAGGCAAATGAATCAAACATTCTAAAACAATCGCAGAAAAGAGCTTACTTCCAGATTGCAGAATGAGATCAATAGAGTGGGAGACGGGCACACTAACAAGAATGCTAAAAAAATAGTTTTATGCTACTAGTGCTCCTATTGGGGACAGTTAATCCATCCAATTAAACTATTGGGATTAATCCATCGTCATTGCCAGCTCTCGGGCAATTTTATTAGTGGTCATTCATTCATTTTGTTGTCAGCTTAGTCCCTTTATTAATCCGGGGTCGCCACAGCGGAATGAACCACCAACTTATCCAGCAAGTTTTTTTTATGCAACGGTTGCCCTTCCAGCCGCAACCCATAATACGGACAATTTAGCTTACCCAATTTACCTGTACCGCATGTCTTTGGACTGTGGGGGAAACCAGAGCACCCGGAGGCAGGGAGAACATGCAAACTCCACACAGAAACGTCAACTGAGCCGAGGTTCGAACCAGCGACCCAGCAACCTTCTTGCTGTGAGGCGACAGCACTACCTACTGCGCCACTGCCTCGCCTAGTAGTCAATAAATACAATAAATTAAAGTATTTTCATTAAATTTCTACTTCAATTTTTTTTGAAAAGTGTGTAAAAAGATGTTTGGCTGTTGGTTAACAATGTTTAGTAAACTGTGCTGCCAAACTATCAGAGAATTATAAGTTCACAGTAAAAAAAATTGTATTACAATCTCTCTCTCTCTCTCTCTCTCTCTCTCACACACACACACACACACACTAGATTTTTTTCAAAGTAAAATTGGACAAACTCAACGATTTGATTTAAAACGTAATTAAAACTGAACAGAGAATTTGGGTTTGTCCTTATTTTTTCTCAAA